GGTTTTCGATAAATAGACAACCCCTCACAAAAAAAATAAAAAATAAAAACTGTTTTGGAGCATAATTATGCTAGTTCTGTAAGAGAAGCCTTTCTTAAGGTACGTTACAAAATCTAATCATTAGATACAATCAATGGAACTGATTTTTGAAGAACGCTGACCACCCATTAGATTTTATGGAGTTTGACTTGCAGAGGACCTTGTTCTTCCCTTGAATCTATAATTTCAAAGTTTTAAAATTTACTGACCATACCAACTGTGTATGTCATCACAGAACACTTTTTAAAGTTGTTAAGTTCTATCTCGTACATTTTTGTGCATGTTTCAAGATTTGTTTCTATATGCAATTTTTACATAGTCAGTAAAGACGGATTGGTTCCCAATCCTTGAATTTATCATTGTATATCCATAGTATCAGTTCAACTTGCAAACATTCTCTGACCTAACTTTTAAGATAAATAATTGCTTGAATAGTTTGTTTTTTTCCGAGAGGCTACTTTTAAACAGTAGGGATTCACCCAAATTATGTGCTTTATATTTTCAATGATTTATTATGGATGATATTATTTGTTCCCATGTTTGATATTCTTTTCCATTTCATAAAACTACCCATGCATCTTTTCATAGATTATTAAACCACTCTCCATTAGGAAAATCTTTATACGTTGTCCTTATCTTTGTATCTTTTCCATTTCATAGATTATTAAAATTGTTCACACATCCATACTTACTGGTGATTCGTTTATTTTATTGCAGTACACTTGGCCAGGGGCTTTCAACTAGCACCTACACCGGGGAGGTTATCTTTTCAATAGCACTAGCCATAGCTGGGCTTATCCTGTTTGCACTTCTGATCGGTAACATGCAGGTATAATACTTAAAATCAGTTAGTTAATAAGAATATGGATGCTATTATGTCTTTTGGAGAGTATTGGGTCTGTCCTATGGAATTGCATCAGTTTCTCTTAATTTCAGAGGTTTTGGCTCACATAAAGAAGCTAATATTATTTGGGAGTGCTCAGTCTTTGTGGTTCTCTAATGTTAATTGGCTGGACAGGAATGCTAGAATTTTGAAGGGAACTTGTTTGATTCTAGAATCTAGATTTCATTTGGGATAATGTTATTTCTCTAGCTTAACCTTTGGTGTTCTGCCTATGATATTTTAAGAGGTGTTTCTTTGTCAGATGTGCTGAGAGATTGGCATGCTTTGTTACATTATTCAATTCCCTAGGTTCTAGTTTCTCACTTTTTTTTTTGTTTTCTTGAGAGGATGTCATATCCTTTTCCTTTGTACTATTCTTTTCCTCCTTAATAATTTTTATTTTTTTTTTGAATCAAAAAAAGAAAAAAGAATATGGATGGTAGTTTAGTGGGTTTAATGACAGTAAAAGGTGTTAGATTGATGTAGCTAGCCTCGGAGGTGACATGTTCTTATATATTTTGCATTGAGGAAAGGTTGATGTGCTGCCTCTGATCTTTTTTTCATTGGCTAAAGCATGTATAGTTTTCAGATGAATGCTATTATTGCTAGATCTTCTTTGTGTTTGTTATGATCTAATTGCAAGGTACGAGACTTGAGTCCCATATTGGTTATATAGGTGACTAATGTGGGGTTTATGTGGACTTTGGGCTCTCCTACCTCTTAAGATAGCTTTTGGGGTGATGTTCTCTCAAAATTCGTATCAATTGGTATCAGAGTCTTCCACTATGTCTCTCAGTTGCAATCGAGCGGCGCGGGTGGTGTCGCCTGCATTGCAGTTTTCGTCCACAGCTAGTAAAAGGCTAGCGCAAAGCTAGCCCGCGTGGCTGCGGAGCGTGGTGGAATCTTATGATCTAATTGCAAGGTATAGGACTTGAGTCCCACATTGGTTATATGGGTGACTAATGTGGGGTTTATATGGACTTTGAGCTTTCCTACCTCTTGAGCTAGCTTTTGGGGTGAGGTTCTCCCAAAGTTCGTATCAGTATCCTTTTTCAGAACTGATGAAATATTCATGCTAAGAAAGTTCTAAGACAGTTTTGCATGGAGTCTCAGCAAATACACATTCACATGTGCATACAGATACTGAGGAGAGAGCAGTGGATGTTATTTGTTTTCTAAATGTTGTTTCTCCTTGTCATAGAGTGGCTATGTAATAGCTTTCAAGGTTTATGTTCACCAAAGCATGAAAAGTAGATTGTTTGTAACTGACACTGAGTTTTCATTCTTTTCATGTGATTACAGACATATCTGCAGTCTCTCACCATTAGGCTTGAGGAAATGAGAGTCAAAAGGCGTGATTCAGAACAGTGGATGCATCATCGCTTACTCCCACAAGAGCTTAGAGAGCGTGTGAGACGTTATGATCAATATAAGTGGTTGGCAACACGCGGAGTAGATGAAGATAGTTTGGTTCAGAGTCTACCAAAGGATCTTCAAAGAGACATTAAGCGACACCTCTGTCTTGCTTTAGTGAGAAGGGTATGCTGTCAAACACTTGAAATTTAGCAAAGCACCAAAAAGGCCCTTTAAATATGTAACTGAAAAGGGCCTGAAATTTTTCCTGACAAAGAAGAGGACCAATAGAGTTATACATAAAAGAATTAATATACTGTCAGTTACTTCCATGTTTTGTGTTTATTGTGTTACAACTACCTAACCACATCGAGTTGTGGTTAGTGGTCCTTTTGCATGAATTAACTGTTTGGTACTTTCTCTGTTGCACTTGTCATGGAACAGTTCATGATCTTTTCTTGGGTCTTACATGGAAGGGAACTACTACAAAATTGTTATTATTAAACTATTTAAAGTTTTTGCTAACAAACATTTTCTTAAGCCAGCGGTACCTTTTTTTTCCTCCCAATAAACTCTTAATCAGATGAAAAAATTGAAGTCATTCCTCAATGCTCAAGTTCTTTGACTAGGACTTGTGCCTAAAAGGGAGTCATTGATAGTGTTGTTTTGGATGCTTTTGTTATCTTGATAGCATCCTTTATCTTATTTCATTTTTCCGGAGTAATAATAGGTTTCTCGCTCTTATTATGTGCTTTTCAGAATCTCTTAGGCTCTAATCATGCAATGCCCTCTGATATCCTTCAGACTTCTCTCTTAGATTAACTCGCCAAATTGGTGCTGAGCATCTGAATTTGTCAATTTATTAACTGCATTTCTTGGATTTGTAGGTTCCACTATTTGAGAATATGGATGAGAGATTGCTTGATGCCATTTGTGAGAGACTGAAGCCATGTTTATTTACGGAAAGTACTTACATTGTCCGGGAAGGAGATCCAGTTGATGAGATGCTTTTCATCATTCGTGGTCGCCTCGAAAGTGTTACCACAGATGGTGGTAGGAGTGGATTTTTTAATCGCGGTTTTTTAAAAGAGGCTGACTTCTGTGGAGAGGAGCTTTTAACCTGGGCACTGGATCCCAAATCTGGCTCTAACCTCCCATCTTCTACTCGTACAGTTAGGGCATTAACCGAGGTTGAGACTTTTGCCTTAACTGCTGAAGAGTTAAAATTTGTTGCCAGTCAGTTCAGGCGCCTTCACAGTAGACAGGTTCAGCACACGTTCCGCTTTTATTCCCAACAATGGAGGACTTGGGCTGCATGCTTTATTCAAGCAGCATGGCGACGGTATTCCAAACGGAAAAATATGGAGCTTCGTCGAAAGGAGGAACATGATGACTCGGAAAGAGCTCGCAGCAATGCCAGTGGCAGTTCATACAGCCTTGGTGCTACCTTCTTGGCATCTAGGTTTGCCGCTAATGCTCTTCGTGGTGTACATCGTAATCGGAATGCTAAAAGTGCGAGGGAGTTAATGAAATTGCAGAAACCTCCAGAGCCTGACTTTACTGCAGCAGATGATGCAGATTAAATTTTCATTTGTAACTACTCTTTTAAAATGCGTGATTTCATTGATACCTATTTTGATTGAACTTTGAGTTGTACTATGCTTCTGGTTCCTTGTAAATCAAGAATTCTGCCAGAGAGAATGCAATGCACTGTTCACAGTCTTATAAATTGTTGTGGACATTGGTTGGCAGATATGTAATGGAAGTGAGACTAAAATGCTTTTGGATTTTTAATGATTCGAACGACTTTTAGCGTAGTTCAACACTTTAATTGGGCAATTATAGGACATGCCACGTAATGGTCAAACATGTTTTCACTTCCGTATTAATCGACAACCAATGTCCAAGATGAAAGACAACCTAAGCCTATTTTAATTTAGGTACTGGCTAAAATTTGCAATATTAAGCTGCATTTTTAGTGTTTGTTTGCTTTCATCTTCCAGCATCGCCATATCCTTTTGCGTGCATTAATGCATTCTTCAGTAGTTAAGTTAGCATGTATATTGGCTATTATGTGTCGAGGCTTCTGCACTTCACTGATAGCTTGCATTACGCAGCGCTAATACTTTGCTGACAATTATCCAAACAGAAACATTGCAGTGTCATTTCTGTCACCGATTTGGCAAATGTGTTTGCCTGGGAATTTTATCTACAGCAAAGTAAAAACTGGAGTCAAAATCAGTAAGACGCCACTCTATTACATTGCCCAACTTAATTTCTAACCGCATCTTTGATTTCACTTTTCTAACAAGCGCTATGCATATGCACATGAAACCATGCTCCGTTTCAATAAAAAGAAAATTTCAAGTAAGTTATGGCAAGACTCATAGCACATTTTCCCTCACTACAAAAGGAACTGATTTTATTTCCCGAGATATATATGAAGGTGTACATTTACCACCAACAGTAATTCCTTTTTCTCTCCAAGATAAGCATTGAGGACAGTAAGATAATGGTCCTCATGAATGTATCCTATTAAACAATGAGAATATTAAGATACAAAATATGATACTTGGAAAATATATTTAAACAAAATCAGAACTGCAAAACAACCTATACTGAGGAGACTAAGAATTTCTGATGTTTAAATTTAAAGCGGGAACCAAAAAACATAAGCTTCTTGAAATGATATAAGAATCCAGCTACTTCCTTCACATGCCATGGATCAGTCAATTTTCACTGAGGAGTAGATTAGCCTTGTGAACCAGAAGCATGCATAGAAACCAATTGTACCAGTCACCACGAAGAAACCATATGAAAGAAGCAGCATGTACCCGAAATACAAGACTCCAGATACTGGTTTTGTGATCTCAAGCTTTGTGAAGAAGTAAAATGCAGCATATAGGAAAAGGTAGAGTGCGGAGGAACCTGAAGTCAGATATGATCTCCACCACCAAAGGTAGTCCTCACTACAAAGCTGGAAGTAGCAGAGAACTATTGTGATCTCAGCACAAGTAACAATGAGGATGAGGAACACAATGAATAGGAAACCAAATATATAATAGAACTGATGTAACCAGATAGATGTGAGAATGAAGAAAAGCTCAATGAAGACAGCACCAAAGGGGAGTATGCCTCCTACTAATACAGAAAAGACTGTGTTCATATACCAAGCCTGCTCTGGGATCTGCCTAGCAATCTTGTTTGTCTTTACAGGATCCTCAATCACTGGCTTCTTAAAACCTATGTGACCACCAACAAATACAAGTGGAACTGAGATGCCAAACCATAAGAAAACAAGAGCAAACATTGTACCAAATGGCACAGCCCCAGAAGACCTTTCGCCCCAAATTAGAGCATTTAGGACAAAGAATATTGAAAAAGCAGTTGCAGGAAACATAAAAGCCGTTTTGAGAGTTATTTTCTTCCATTCTGTTCCTTTGAACATCTTATAAAGACGCGCTGAAGAATATCCAGCACATAGTCCCATGAGGGCCCAGAGTAAGAGCATGGCTGTCATCAACCCCCCTCTATTTGAGGGAGACAGAAATCCAAGTGCAGCAAAGATCATGGTCACAAGAATCATTCCAAAAAACTGAACACCTGTTCCAACATAAACACACAGTAAATCTGAGTTTAAAGGAGGCCTGAAAACATCCCCATGCACAAGTTTCCACCCTGTCTCTTCCTGAGCTTCCTCTTGGCTCTCTAATTGATTATACTTAGAGATGTCACGGTAAAGTGTTCTCAACATTATCATAGCCACCATGCCAGATAGGAAAAGCACAATCATTAAAGAATTAATAATTGAAAACCAGTGAATCTGGTCATCTGCCATTAGAAGATAGGAGTCCCAGCGAGATGCCCACTTCACATCGCTCTCCTACATGTTTATATAGTTATAAGAAAAAAAGATCAACATCAAAATCCAATTCTCAGTTCCACCTTGGTAATTCAGTTAATTAACATGAATCATGGAACTAACCTGGAACTCAACATCATAGGTAAAAATAATTTCGTTCTTGTGTTCAACCTCTTGAGGAGGTTCAGAGCCTGAGACTATCCTTTTTGCATGAGGATCACAGGTTGTTAAACGGGTGTTCTCATCCCATTCACCTTCATATTCATGCTTTACACTGTACTCATAGGAATGATTTCAATTTACAAGTATTATTAACCATAAAATTAAGAAATTAGCACAAAGCCAATATATATATTCAAGGAAAGAATTATAAGACAACCTGAAAGGTTTAACCTCAAAGCCTACTATCCTTGACATCTCTGTCACTGGATCTCTATGATACTTAACCACAAATGTCAAGTGATTGTGCAAGAAATACTTTTCATCCTTGTTCTGTCAACATTAGTGTACAAAAGGTTAAAATAAATTTAAACTAACCAACCACAACATAAAAAATGGTCATGAAGCTGGCACTTACTCCAGCATACTGTCCTTTAAGACCAATGAGGAATCCATGCAGATACACTAAGGAAGATTCGTGATCAGGCCGTCTTAAGGGAACAACCAAAGGAAGATTGTCTAAAATCCTGCAACAAAATGAATGCAAGGATAGAAATATAGAAATTTTTGTCACAAAGGCATGACACAAGTGAGAATAAGTAAGTAAAATTTAAGGTCATTAGTGACTCACATGTTGACCCGATATTCATCTTCTATCTTTTCCTTGAACTCTTTGGCTGTTTTTTCATTAAGAGTTAGACGACAAACAACATTGCACATCTGTGGTTCTCTCATTTTAAACTGGAAGAATCAAATTTGTTTGAATATTTTTGTAATTGAACATAATAAATGAAAGGAAGAATGTTGCAAAATGTGCACAAAATTTAACCAACCACATATGGAGAGTTTTCGATGCGGTCACCCCTGAGAACTTCACCAAGATTCTCAGCACTGTCAACAATTTGATCTGGATTACAATAAGGTAGTGAATAGTATGAGTAAGGAAGCTGTGTTTTGGTGGAAGTTAGTTTGTTCACTTTCACCCTCAATAGATCCCCCTGTCACCAATGAACATTATTAGATAAGATATTTTAATATTATGATTAGGAAAAACATATATTCTGATCAACCAACTATTAATTAAATGAAGTGAATAATCTGTAAACTGTCAATTATGTCAACCTGACCTTAGAAAATGAAATATGTAGACATTTTTGCAATGTAAAATACATGCCTACATTCCTATAACTCACTCCCTCTATTGCTTGATAAAAGCGGAATTATAGTAAAACATTCATGAATAAACAATGTCATCACCTTTAGTACCAATCAAAATTTCATCACATGAGTTGCAAATTTAAATTCTTTAGTTCCTCAATAAACGGAAATCAACAAAGCAAAAAATGTAGAAGAGATCAAGTAAAATGACTACTACTGGAATGCATTAACTTCTAGTTAATTAACAAGGATTTCATACACCCAGAATACCAAAATGCTCGGATCTCACAAACCCACATAGAATTTACCCAACAAGCCAAAATCACCATTACCCAAATTGCAAAACCAAACAAAGATCTAAATCAATCCAACTAAGCCAAAAAAAAAAAGGGATATACAAGAAAATCAAGAGGACCCAATATCGATCTGACCCGAAATTCAATGAAAAAAGCTTGAACATGCAAATTCAACAATGACACAGAAACATTTTTCTAGTTGGAAAAAACAAAACAAAACGTAAGTTAAGGGAATGACCTTGTGGAAATCCTCGGGTGCAACACCAGGAAGGTAAAAACAAGTTACATGGTGTACATTGACAAGAAGCAGAAAACACACGCAGATCCATTGCCATAGGTGACATGTGAGAAGCACTCTAGCCATGGTTTTCCGAACAACGTAGATCAAGGAACACTTCTCTCCTACTTTCTCTCTCTACACTTTCTCTTCCTCTCACTCTTCCTCTTGTTCCTCCCTTTAGTTTTTTTTATCAAGTTTTCTTGCTTTGTTCGTTACAAAAACGACGTTGTAGTTGTTGGACATAATAAAAACATGCAATCCTTAAACAAACCAAAAACTCGGTTCATATTAGTCTTGGACATTATATTTGTACTTTTTAAAAATAAAGATATCTATGACTAAATTTCCCATAAATGATACGATGAATGGTATTTTTTTTTTTTAATTTCTTCACTGGATCATAGATTAATGGGTTTGTTTTTTTTCTAAAGTTACATTAGATAACTTTATCTAATCTTCATCGAAACGACGTCGTTTTGGGCGAAAATCATGGTGTATTTGTAATTCTAATTTATTTCAGGGTTATAATAGTCTTTATCATTCTGATTTTTTAATTTTTCAACCCAAAACGACGTCGTTTCGATGAACATTAGACAAAGTTATCTAAAGTAATATTAGATACTTTTCCCCCTAGATTAATCAACTAATCCATATATGTTTGAAGTTTCTAAAATTACTTTAGATAACTTTATCTAATGTTCATCAAAACATATATAAAAAAATATGTTAGAGCCCATATTTTTTACATGGCTCTATATGACCCTCACATATTTTTGTGTGTGTATTTCGATGAATATTAGATAAAATTATTTAAAGTAATTTTAAAAATTTTAAATCCTATAATATATTTATATATTAAAACTTGAATTCGAAATCACTGTAATAATTTCTTACTAATTGATTTACGTACGGATCTAATAGGTAATTTAATCTAAAAAAAATGATGAACGATGATGTGCGGTGGGGATTGTTTATTTTAGTTGTGTTTTTCAGTTGGTCATGATAGTTAAGGCATAACCGAATTACCTACTTTGTAAGAAACCTTCTACTCAGCTTTATTTATTTTGTTTTATTAATTAATTCAGGAATCATTAGTTAAATAGCTAGTTGGTACTTTTTTTTTTTTTTTTGGTAAGCGCTAGTTGGTACTTTCTATTGGCAAAGGTACGTGTTAAGTACGAAATCTATAAATGAAAGAGTAAATATCCTTTTTAGTCCTTGTTAATATCTACGAAATCTTTTTTAGTCCATGGCAATAAAAAAGGACCAAATTGGTCCCTGAAATTACAAAAAAAGGGCCATGTTAGTCCTTATGTCAACTCCCAAATATGTAGAGTGGCCTTTTTCTTGTACTTTCAGGGACCAATTTGGTCCTTTTTTATTGTCAGGGACTGAAAAGAACTTCGTAGATATTGTCAGGGACTAAAAATCGTGTTTACTCTAAATTAAATTAAATGTGGCTGCATCTCTGTTCGATTGAGTTCCATATAAATCTATGATAATTTATTCACACAATAAAAAATAATTAATGAATTATATAAATTTGTCTATTCCAAATAGAGGGAAAAAACGGTTGACCAACCACTTTCAGTTTACAAATAAAATCTAGTTTACGGTCATCAAGGAAGAATATAAATAACTTTTAATCAATTTTTTTATGAAAAAACTTTAAAAAAATTAAGTTTATCAAAATAATCTATTCTGAAACATGAAAACCAGGATTTTATTTTATTTTTTTCTGCGATACGCAAAACGCTTTGACTAAAAATTATAAGTAACGAAATAGGATATCATCATGTGGCATTATCAAGATAATTCAATTTTTTTTTTTTTACTTCAATTCATTGATTACCCGGTATCTGTAACACCCCGTTCTAGAACCGGTTTGTTAACATCGCATTATGATATTAAACGCAGTTATAATCACATTGGTTCAATTAGAAATCCGGATAAATTTTTCTTTTTGAACAAAGCCGAATTTAAAATATCCAATTACGTGATCATAACCATATTACGTTGCGGAATAAAATAAACTAAGCTTAACATCATATTCTTATTTTATTAGACCACGCGTTGTTAAATGTCTTCATCTCTTTTATTATTATATGAATAAAATACTTCCAATATAGTTCTCATCTTCTACTATGTTGTAGATCTCTTTGTTAGCTTCGAGTGGGTTCAAACCGCGCTCAAATCGGAGCTCTGTAGCTCGAGTTATGCTAGTTTTATTAAACTAAGTTTTTGCTGATTTTTCGAATTGAGCGTTTTGGCGCCCAACTGAGCCTTTAAACGCCCAGAGGCAGAAAAATTTGCCTTCTCCAGGTCTCCAGAGCGTTTTGGCGCCCAACTTGTGCGTTAAAACGCCCACTTGAGTGTTTTGGCACCCATTAGCACGTTAAAACGCCCAAGGGCAGACACTTTTCCTCCATTTCACGAACATAGCGCGTTTTAGCGCCCATTTCAGCGCTAAAACGCTCTCCAGCTGGGCCAAACATGCCTCCCCTGTTTTCATATACTATCTTGAGGAATTTCCTCCCTTTTTCATCATTCTCTTAACACCTAATAGGCAATCTTACATCATATCATGCTTCAATAGTTGCATCATTTTCATAATTCATTATATAATCCCAAAGGATAAAATATAATTCAACATTCCATCATCTACCTTCAACAATCCTTTTACAATCTAAAGGATAAAGACATGATTCATATTACATCCATATTCAAATATACAATTACATCATTGTTCTTCAAAAGGATTACATACCAAAGACTTAGAAATAACAATTGATCAGAGTCCCAAAATGGTGCACAATGGCTAAACAACATCAATGATCAACTTCTAAGTCCTATATGCATTCATATACAACTAATGCATCAAAATATCCTATACTTAGGTTTTCTACATGAAAGGAATCTCAAAATGTCATATCTCAGGTACCATCTACTCATGCTTCTTGCCTCGGTCAACCTCACCTCTATCAGTACCTGAAATGATGCCCCACAACACAGGGTGAGATATACGAATATATCACAGTAAACCTAGGGTCCTTGGAGATCACTCCACCCTAAGGTTCACTTCCGATGTACATATAATCCTAACATCTTAACACATTCTTATTCATTAACATCACATGGACTTCTAAGAGAGATCCACGAAGGGCTGTTTCTCTTAGGCTCTTACCACATGGAGATCCATATAGGGCTGTTTCCAAGGGAAGTCCCTAACCTCAATCTAGGAACCTCCAAGAGAAATCCTCATAGGGTTGTTTCTCTTAGGCTCTTACCACATGGAGATCCATGTAGGGCTGTTTCCAAGGGAAGTTCCTACCAATCATCCTCATCATAATGATATCAATCATAACCTCAATCACAATCCTCAACCATTACCTAATTCATTATTTCTACCTCTATTAATCATTCCTCAATTACTCTTAAACAATCAAGCATAAGTCAATTATCATTAAGCAATCATAATATTTTTCAATGCATGAATCAATGCATGAGCATACAATTACTATCATCATTACATATCACACCTCATAAACCACTCCTTCTCAACGGAGTATGGTGGAACAATCAAGGGGATCAACCCCAAGGTCCAAAGGTTTACCTTGCTCTTGAACTTTTCTCAAAGCTTTCCTTTCCTCAATTAAACATAACCACAAGGGTTGGTCACTCCACTTGGTTCTCTTGCCTCAATCCTATCAATACAAGGATCACAATCAAATCTACAATCAATGGCTTACCATTCAAGAACATCCTTAATTTCAAGCATAACTTTCTCAAATATCAAAGCATGCTAAAATGACAATCTAAACTCATTTCTACCATTTATTTATCATTTTTAACAACATTTACAAAGGTACTAAGCCTCCATCAAACTCAAACTCAAAAACTCACAAAAACACTATTCATCATCTTCAACCTCTAGAAAACTCCATGAACACAAGGTTGGAGAAGTGGAAACTTACCACAATAGGTCACACAACCAAGAAATAGAGGTCTCCTAAGCTCCCATGTATGAAAATGCCCCCAAACTCCTCAAATCTTCAAGGAACTCAAAATATTTGGAGGGAGAGATCTCCCTCCACAAGTCTTCCCACTCAAAACCAAGCAAGGATTTGCAATGAGGGAAAGATTCTCTATGTTTTTGGCTTTGGAACGGATGAATTTCGTTGAGAGATGAGGAAGCTAGGGTTTGAAGCTTGGAAATGGTCTCTCCCTCTCCTTTCTCTCTGTTTTGATCGACGGGTAGGAGAAGAAGAAATGTGAATGAGGTTGGTGTTTTGTCACTTATAAAAGGTTAAGTGACTTTAACCGGGTATGAGCTCATCTATCTGTTCAACTCCGTTCTCTTTTAAACTATACCGAAAGGTCTGGAATATTTTTCTAGGAATATTTCCACTTTTACTTTTATATTTTGGGTACTTTTGCCTACACTCATTTATACCCCTTAATTCTCAGTGACTGCACTTTTTACCTCCGAATTGCCCTTAACTCATTAATTTTAACTTCTTGTTTAATTCTTCCCACTTATACATGCTTGGTTACTTAATTAAAAGTAATTAATTAAATTCTTAAATTAGGGGTATTATAGTTTCAGATCAAGAAGAAGAGAAAGAACGAAGTAGAAAAGAGAGAGAGAGAGAGAGCTGAACGCTTTGATATTTTGTAATTGTAAAGTATGAGTGAATTAGTTACAATAGTGAGATCCAATCTTTATTTATAGATTGATAAAACTAACAAACTACAAGTTGTTAAATATTCTAACTGCATATGGTTTAAACAGAAAATAGATTCTATCTGAAACTGTTGTTGGGCCATTGGGCTTAGTGGTTAGTAGTTAGGAGAACTGCAGAGAGATTATCACAGTAGACAGAGGGAGGGTGAGGGATTCAGAGCTTGAGTTCGGAAAGCATTGATTGTATCCATGTGAGCTCAGCAACAGTGACAGCTAGACAACGATATTCTTCCTTAGTGCTCGAACGACTAACAACTTGCTGCTTCTTCGAAGACAAAGTAATGAGATTAGAGCCGAAAAAGATGCAGAAATCACTGGTGGAGCAACAATTGTCAAGATC